ATCCTGGCTTTTGGTGGAATGAAAGCCGTGTACTATTATACCATATAATCCAGCCCTACATCAACTCAATAAGCGGGAAACCTTAGGGTTGTGAAATGTGTCAATGGTAAGTGCCAGTCCTTTGTTGACCATTCTTAATTTAGTTAGCCTGAGTAAGCTAACATGGCTTTTACGGCACATAAAAGGATATTCATTGGTAGTTTTGTGTGGTATTTGATATTGTATTTACCCAAAGGGTTTAGTGTGAATATAATAAGTCATTCATAATAATATTAAAACTAGTAGATTCTTTAATTTCCTTTTGGTGAGATATCCATCTCCCATTTAAGCCAATAAGTCCAATATGTCACAATGGATAATATTTTTAGGTCATTACAATTCAACTGCTATTACAAATGTAAAATCAATCCCCAAACTGCAAGTGAGAAAGAGTAAAAGGAAAATCCCGAAAAAAGAATGCATATCCCTCGGACTATGCCAATAGCCTGCAGCAGTCAGGACAAACCAAATGGTTCGTCAGTGCCAAAAACAACAAAAAACACAAGGCTAGAAGAGAAGGAGAAGCAGGAAAACTGAGTTGGGAAATTCCAGTGAAAGTAGAGGAAAAAACGGAAAGGAAAAGCAGAGGAACCAACAAGGGAAATGGATCAATGTCGAATGTCTGGCAAGTTGATGGTAATTTAAGAGAGGCTTATGCTTCCATTTGTAATTGTGATTGAGATTCGAAGAATCTGCAATGGACGGAAGCAGCTTAAGGGATAGACATGATTAAATTAGAACACTTTTCTCAGTGTACGGTTTAGCATTATTCAGTTAATGATGGGGGGTGCCTTTTTAAATGGGATTAAACATGGATTACAATGGATTGTAATTCTTAAAAAATAAGTTAAAAAAGCCTTAGTTTACTCATCCAAAACTAGAATACTACACAGAGATCTTCTCATATTATATTCTTAAAGCAAAATGATAACATTTCCCACAGCCATCATTACTGCCTAGTAATTAATACATCTGTATTTTGGCCCATTCAATATGGTAATTCATTTCACTTGCACAGTTTTCCGCCCTGCAGCTGCCCGCATTTATTTACTGATTTCCCAGTCGATAAAGCCCCATGGAATGTCCAATGGCCAAACATACGTTTGTATATGTATATAACAGACCAAAAATCCAGTTTGCAAATTGCAACATATTTGCATTTGCCACTTGCAACATTTACGATCGACTAAAGCACTCCACTCAATCATCGCTCTGGGACAAAAACAAATACAAACAGTTACCAAAAATACGACAAAAATTTTCCACAGCAAAATGTGCTGAGGGAGATATCCCGCAGAAAGGCAAAGCGGGAAAATGTATGGATGTGTAAGGGTGAAAGCCATCGATTGCGTGCAGCGTTAAATGTCAGCCCGCAGCCAATTGCAGATGTCAACACATGCACAGCCCGGAAAAAAAGACACGCACACAATTTGCGCCTAAAATATGGCAGACATTTTCGCTACGCAATGAATGACGGGAAAATGTTTTGATTTATGCGCATTTTTCGGGCATTCCCTTGCGTGTCGAATGCGTTCAATTACAAAATGTCCAATAATGTCCGTTAAATACATTTCAATTTTTAGAGAACATTCATCTAGCCCCTGCCATTAGTTATATTGTTCTGCCTGCCCTTCAATCGCATTAATTTATAATTATCACCAACCCATACAAGGCACAGCCGCACAACACAAGGACAACTAATTAAGCAAAGCAATTAACTTAAGCAGTAACTAAGTCGTCGCACGAACCACTTGAAACTCCAATTAGGGGCGTGGCACATCCACAATCTGTCCTAATCCCATCGTGGCTTCAAGGTAATTTGTTTAGATATCACGATTTGCCTATTACTCATCCCTCAACAAGTAAATATCTTCAGTTTCCCAAGTTGTTTGCTCTTTGAATTAATTAAACCGAATTTGATTTTAGTGATTGTGTTTCTTTTTGTCTTTTTGATTGCAAGATGTTTAATGCAATGTAAACAGAAATAAATAAAGCTTTAGGTCGTCGTCTGCCGTACATTCTGCTTTCTCTTTTGCCCCCAGTCCACTGTCTCACTCCCACACTATGCTATATAATACGCTTTTCCGATGCTGATAAGACGACGAGAGTGGAATACAAAAGAATCGAGGGTGATTTAGGAAGAGGTCCTAATTTTATAAGGCGAAAAGTAGGATACTCTATTTGTGAAAATAAGGAAAGATGAGAACTTTGAGGTTTTCTTTTTAAATAATTATTTTATGGAGTATAAAAACATTTTTATTAGAATTTCAGTTTTAAATAAAAAATCTTATTTATAAAGTATTAAATTTATTGCAATATATAAGTCTATATACCCTTAAGTAGAGTAACAAAAACAAAGCCAGACTACACAAAGAATATTAGCAGGCTCAACCAGGGGGCTTGTATTGTGTCTGCATAAAAAGTTCTCCTCTCGAAATCAAAGAAGCCTTCTCGAAATAAAAAAAAACAAATTTCCATCGAGGAAAAGGCAAGCCAGTCAGTGAAAATCGAAAAGTTATACCAATCCCAAAAAATATGTCAATAAATTTAAAACCACAAAGGGAAAATCGCCTCTCAGAATCACCCCAACTACAAAAAACTCAAATTTTTCAGCTGCTTTGCAAATATTTGCTCTTTTTTTTTTGGGATGAACGTGAATGTGTGTGTGTGTTAGGGAGCACGATAAATTTTGAAAATTTATTTGAGGCGGCCTGCGGCTGCATTTGAAGTGGTAACCATTACCAAAATGCCACATGATGATTCCCCAGCCAGCTCTTCCTATACTCCCCCATACATATTTGCATGGCAAATTTTTTGAATTTCTTTTATTTCGTTTTTACATTTTATTCGCTTAATGTTTTATTCATGCGACCCCACAAAATCCCATTAACAAATTTACACATTTTCAATATTGAAAATGTGCTTTACGTTTTTTTCCCTTCCCTTCTATAATAAAAACAAACCAAGCCAAAAAGCTAAAACTAAAAAAAAAAAAAAAAGTAAATATAAAATAAATCTGTGAAGCAGAAAAATACTTTCAATTAAGCAATATAAACAAAGATATATATTTTTGGAGGCAAAAGAAAAAGAAAAAAACTAAACTTGTGCACATGCTTGAGGCACTTATTTAAAATCTATTTTTGAGTTTTTTGTGGCTGCTGTTCTATGCACACATTTATTTCCTATTTAATTATTTTAATTGAACAAAACACGCAAATACTTGATTTCCTTTGCTTTCCAGTTTTCACCCCTGTGTGTAGGTATGTGTGTGTGTGCTTGTGCCCAAAGACAGTGGAAAAGCTTCTTAGCCTTCGTCAGTTGAGTGATAAGCGGCGCATTAGTAAGGAGAATTTATGGCCAACTTTCATGAGATGAGTTGCTAATGCTGGGATTTCACAGAGATTTCTAATGGGATCGCTGTCGCGGCTTCACAGATTGTTTTTCTTTCGGTTACAACATTTTGTAATTTAGGAGGTGAAGTGTAAAGTTCACATATGTGGGAGTCAAGTTGTTTTAACAACATTTAAATAAACCAACGAGCCTCAAAGGGGAAATTCTGGGAAATGTGAAACTTAATACTAACCAGAAGGGAGTAATTAGGCAGTGAAAGTGAAGTGTTCTTGAAAGCAATTTTAATTTGCTAGTTTAATTATTCAAGAAGCAAGGAAATATTGTAATGAAGAGTCAAACTAATATTTTAGATATTCTTCTCCTTTTTATAACAATTTCCTAATCAAACTGCAGATCTCCCTTTGAAACTCCTTTATTCTCATTCAACAAGTACGACTAAGAAAACACAAAATTTTTGCCCCAAAAAGCAACCCTAGTCAGCTTTAACTTTTCCCATCTAAGTAAAGACACTGCCAGCCCACGAAATCAGCCTCAGTTTTACCTTTTAAATTAAACTAAAAAGTTGCCACTCGAGACCCAGTAGCAATTGCATAATGGACCCTGTTGTGTCCCTTTGATATGACCCAAAGATAAGAAAAAAAAACAAACATACACAATGGCGTATATGGGGCGTATGATTAATAAACACTTTTAGTTTTCATTTTTGGTCAAAGAGAAAACCTTTTTCCACACTCATAACAATTAACTTTAAAGGTTTAGACATAAATCCTTGCACAATTGTAGACCTTACAAGAACAACAACAACAACAACAAAAAACAAAACATACATGTGTATAATAGAACACGAAGAAAAGGCAGAAAGTAAAAAGTAAAAGATGAATAATGAATGAGCCGCACGCGAGCAGAAAACCAGGTGAGTTGTGGGTGGGGGAGGGAAATGTGGAAAAGCTCGGCGGCCATGCATGAGTAACACTTGACATTGCCTGGGAATGGAAAGGAAAAGAAGGAGATGGAGGGGCAAAAGGAAAACCCACACCAACACCTACACACCCAACCATCCACACACGCACTGTAGCCCGAAGGGCAGCCGAAGGAAGCTCGTTTCTAGTGAATTATAATATGGCATGCAGATAAAACATTGAAAGTCAAAAGGCCCTGGGGGAACTACAATTAAGCCTAGTACCCAGCACCCAGCCACCCACCTATGAGTGGGGAGAAGAAGAGAAAACCATTGGCAGTTTCAACATTACCGGAAATCATTTCCATATGTATATTTATGATGCTTTGTAGATAACCAGCAAGAGCTGATGAGAACTTTACTCGGAATCGAGTCATATCACAAAAACCAAACCGAAATTCTGCAAAGAAATTTCTCTAAAGAATTCTTGGTGCTGGAGCCAAAAAAAACCAAAAAAAAAAACAAAGAACCGCAGCCCAGGAAAACTCTTGGCCAAAAAGAAAAACAATTCAACAGTTTGTTGCCAGCAACATGCTGCCAATGTGTGGCAGCAACATGCTCGATTTTCGGCCCCGGGTAAACTTCGCTCTCTTTCTCCCACGCTCTCGCCGTGTTGAGTTTTCCACTTTGATAAAAGCAAAAGACCTGGCCATAATCGAAACAGTCTGCAAAGGATTCTAGGCGCTAACGGTTCTCTAAGAAAATAAATATCCCGTCAAGTATCTACCAACGGCAATCGTCGCGTGCGTTTTCAAAAAATAAAAGCAAATTTTTAAATTGAAAATCACCTGGAAAAACGATTAAGCAAAGTGAATTTTAATTTGTGAAAAATCACAAATTACAAAAGCAAGCCGCAGTTATAGAAAAGTAAATATGACAAACTTATACTCAACGAATTTTGGTTTTTAAATAATATTTAAGATGTTTTGATCAAGGATTCGACTTAAAGAACTTAAATACTGAAAATTCGGATTTCAAAAAGTCAAAGAGTTAATATGATAAAATTAAATTTGAATATTGAAACCATTATTTATCTTATAATAGGTTAGAAAAACTGATTTTATAAATCTATTTAATCTCCCAAAAGTCTCAAAACAGTCCGATTTTTTATTTAAGTTGTATCACAAATGGAAAATATAGTTCATACATTGTAAAACATTCTTCAAGGACCTTCAAAATTCCAAAAAATATCAAAAAAAAATATTCATATCCTCACCAAAACTGCATAATTAAGTACTTCCTAGTCAAAAGCCACTTAATTTTTTTAGGAATTTTCCTTTATGGGCTGTTTAATATTTATAAACAACATTTTAAAAACATGACCATTTTGGGTTTGTCTATCCGATTTCCAATCATTTTATTCAAATTTTATAATTTATGCTAAAAGCCTTTTAAATCTGGCCTAAACTAGCCTAAGCTGACAAAATCCAGACCCGACAAACTCACTGCAGATTTCCCCACCATGGAAAAAAACGTCCAATTTGCAATGAATTTCCAAAGAGGTGGAAAATCGGGTTGAAGAGGTCGCGGCAATGGAACAGAAAAAAGAGCAACATTGAAAAAATGTTTTGGCATTTATATTCAACCCACTGACAGCTTAAAGCGTGTCAAATAGCTGGTTTCTGCTTCTTTTTTTCTAAGGTCTAAGGACGTAAACCTTTTTGTGATAATTTTTCAAAGGAAACCCGCATTCAATTAAGCGAAAAGGCTGGACCTCATTGGTATGCCAAATGGCAGCCGCAGAAGTTGACACTCAAAATGCCGTCGCTGCCATCGTTGTGTGTCCTTGACTTTGCCTATTCATACGCAAAATTAAACACGAAGGGGTGGGTGGACAGGGAGGAGCAAATAATGAGCGGGAATGGGTTGCGAATGCCATGGTAATGTGAAACACACTACACTGTGGCAATGGCATGTCGGTCTGCGTGCCAACATTTACGAGTTCCCCCTTAATTTATGCTCATTCATAAATCTCCCTTGGTGGAAATCTCATGCATTTGCCGACGCTGCCAACGCCTGAATGTATGCAACGTAATATAATAAAAACAAATTGAAAATTATGACACTATCAAGGACATCTTCGAGGTGACGATTCCTTTAATAGTCTTATAATAAACTTTAAAGAAAGTTTAAGAAAATGATTTAAATAATCATATAGGAATTTATTGACCAATAATTTTGAGAATTTTCCTTTTTTAATAGCAATTCTAGTTATTTTATGAAATTTATATCAAGAGAACAACATTTTCTATCAATTGTTCTTAATTTAGATCCCTCAAATTCTAATTTTATAAAATATTAACAAGAATTATGTCAATTAGTCTGCTAGCATCGAGGGAGATTGAGTAGAAACCTTGTAAATGAGTGTACAACCTTAAATGTTTTTAGCAGCATAAAGGGAGATGTCTAAATGAATTGAGAAATGTCTAAAAATACACCGACCCTTTGCCAGATTCCCTTGAAGATTTGGCAAACAATGTGATTTGCCAAGTGGCAAATTGGCTAATTAGATGACAAACCAATTCAAACTTGCACGAACCAGATTGTCCTGAAATTTTTTGATTAAAAAGCTTAATTGCTAATTACATTCGCTGTTTAACACAAAAAATCAAGCAAAGAATGTTCATGTTGGCATAATTAAAATAACTAATTTCCTGTCTTGTATTATTTTGTGAGAAAAAGATGTTTTTGTTTGCGTTTTTCCTGATTTGAACGGAGAGCGCATGGTGCACGCTCTTGGGGCTGCGTAAATAAATAGGAATTGGAATATTCAGAACCGAAGAATTATCAAAATAAATACGTTTGTCAGCGAAGAATGAAGGCCTTGTTTGCATTCCACCAGCCGTTCTTCCTTTCCTTTTTTTTTTCTCAGCCATTTAATGGCATTGGGAAGGAAGTTGGTTTTTCGGTTATAAATAGATGGGTTTTTTTCCTGGCGAAAAAGGATGGGTGATTAAGCGGATGGTAAACACTGGGCGAAAAAATATGACGACGTCATTTGACAAACGCTGAGATGAGCAATGATTGCCATTAATTTGAATTAATTTCACACTATTCAGCGGCAGCAAGATTGATGGGCTATTTGCCATTCAAATTGTGTGGGCTTTTCTGGAATATAAATTGAAAACAATGATGTAATCTGTTTCCTTTTGCCAACATAAATATACAAAAGGGTAACTTGGGAAAATTCTCTTAAAACTAAGCTTCCGGTGAATATTTTTTCTGTTTCAAAGAAATCTTTTTCATTCACTTTTAAATTCTGGGTAAGTTTAAAGAAAATGCTTTGCTTTCTTGGAACGAATTTTCAATATCAAAACATAAATATTTGCAAAAACAACTGGGTTAATAAGAATGTTGAAAATATTTACACTAACTTTCTTAAAATTAAATTTAGATTGTGCTTCGTAGAAAACAATTTTACTCAAAATTAAGTACAACATTTTTATAATATGCATTCTTAGAATCTGTTTTTAGTATAGGAAAAATGCCAATAATTAAGTAAATAAAATTGGTAAAATGTATTTTACTTCACTTTTTGTTTAAATTAAGAAAACAAATTGAGAAAATATTTATAAAACATTAATTTTCCAACCCAAATTTATGGTTCTCATCGTTCTAGTGACCTTCTCCTCTTAAAAACCAATCCGTTTCCCTCTTTCCCCTTACTCGACCGTAACATTTCCCCCAATTAAGTGCTTTTAGTCCTGGCACTTAAGTCTCAGGACACTCCTTTCTCAAAAAAAAGTCTTGCTAAAAACGCAAACGCCAAGTTTTGCCCACAGGTATTGGCCGTAATTATCTTAGAACAATGTCAAAAACCAAAAGTGCCATTAAAAACATTCGCACCTAGCGGTAATAATTATTCTAATTACGAGGCGTTTTTGTGGAAAAAGTTCTCGAGGTGCTTGAAAGCCCCGCAGGGCCCTGTCAAATATGTATTTTGTCCGAGCAAACAAACCAAGAAGTGGCTGGAGATTCCACAGCAATCAGCATAATTTCCCTCTTGTTGTTTTTCACATTTTACCGTATTGACTTTGAGTCTGAAATCTTTCCACACGCCGACCTCCAACTGGTTAATTACAGCTATTGAGGCCCTAGCAAGACCATTATTATTTATTATTATTATTCTTATTATTTCTTGATTACTATTTACGCACAGAAAAGGAGAGTAAAAAGTGGCTTCTATTAGCTTTGTAAATATTTACATCATCACTTGAGGCTTATTTTTTGGGCAGCAATTATGCGTTACGTCACCAAACTAAATAAACACCATGGAAGGCTTTAAAAAAAACATTCAAGTAAATATTCGTGAGGGGAAAATAGTGTACATATGTGTGCAGTTTGCATTTATTGTGATCTTTTTATGGTTCTGCTTTTTCCTGAATTCCATGAAAAACAAAAGGAAAACAATAAGAAAAAACATATGACGCAAGTTTTTCGTATGGATGAGTTTTCTTTTTTGCTTGTTTGTCCGGTTTTCATTTCAACGCTTTTCTTTTGCCGTTTGTTTATTATAACAGGTTATAAAAATGCAATTCCAGTAATTGGGCGAACTTCTTCCTCCTCTTACCACTTCCAGTTTTCGTTCTTAAAAATTTGATATAGATTGCGGGGACTCTGCACTCTATTTTGTTATTTATAGCTTTCGATTTTTGAACCCTTTCTGACCCTCACAACTGTCATGGCCTGACTCCAGTGACAATTTCCAAATTGACTGACAGGCATATCCATTACGAGGTGACTGGCTCTGAAATTGTTAAACAACACCAGCTCTTCCGCTGATTTGTCTATCAAATTTTTATGTATACATTTTAATGTATCGTAATGTGATTTTAACAAGATATTGGTTGTAGACGAAAAATGAGTTTTTAGTGTGACTCGTATTACGCATACGCAGTGGTTCCCTTTAAATGGAAAGAAGAAAAAGAATTCCTAACAAATCATATTAAACATTTAGTCTATAAACCTATAAAATGGCATAATGATTCCGAAAGAGTTACTCTTCCCTTCAAAGGTTTAAACCTAAATTATCACTCTCTTGATATTACACATACGCAGTGGTTCCCTTAAAAAGAAAGAAGAATTCCAAATTATCATATGAAAAACCACCGTTTAGTCTATAAACATGACATAATGGTTTCGAAGGAGTTACTCTTCCTTTCGATAATTCAAACCTAAATTCTCACTCTCTTGATATTACGCATACGCAGTGTATACCTTAAACTAACTATAAACACTTTTTAATCTCTAAACCTATAAAATCCCACACCTTTCACAAAATAATTACCTTTCCTTACAATAGTTGTAACTTTCATTTTGTAACAATTTTGATATTACGCATACGCCTCGTATACCATCATGAAACTTTAATCAATCCAAATGTCACCCACTAGACATCAGAATACCCACATTGCAGACCATAATTAATCTATTCTCCTCAAATCATTGCTTTTTTAAAGCAATAGATCAATGTCTGAAGCGGATCGCATGCTAGGGAATTGAAAGCTTTAATTCACAGCTGACGGTTACTAATAACAATCCATAAGAACGACCACATGGGGAGTTTTCATGGCACGACATCGCTTTCTGCTCTGCCCATTGGGAATTTAATTAAAACTGTCTAAAGCCCAGCGGGTGTCAGTCGCCGGACAAAAGCGCACCAAAAAACCAACCGTTTTGTCATGCAAAAAACCATTATTCTTTAGATTTTTATTCATGGTAGATTATTTTTCAATATAAATTCAACAGATCCCAATGGTTAGCCAGAGTTGGCCAAGCTAATTACGGCTCCGCAGCGACCAATAAAATGTAATTAAACTACAGATAGCAAAAAAGAAAGAAAGAAAAAACACCACCTCAACTAGCTT